ATGTCCGCGACGTGACGACTCATTTTTTGCAAGCTCAATTCGAGCTATATTCTCCATGAATTTATTGAAGTATTTTTTATGAAGGACAAAATTTCTGCCAGAATGTCCACAGTTTGCAGCGTCTCATGCGTTTTTCAACACTGAATTGGAATTTTTGTAACGAAATTCAGTGCCATATTATCCCGTAAATGTTAGCTATGGTCTCTCAGATCTAAATGACGGAAAATTCATTTATGATGGCTAGCCTACCGTGGAGATATGTAACACTAATGCATTAAATACTCCGTATTGTTGAGAGGCAATACCGCGTAAATCTGTAATGTACTATATTCATACGTTTTCAATGCGGCGTATGTCTATAATGCGCTGTATTCTTACGATGGCGGTGCAGTATAACTAGAATGTACTGTATTCTTACGATGACAGTGCAGTATAGCTGGAACGTACTGTATTCATACAGGAGCAGTGCAGCGTATCGGTAATGGGCGTAGCCCGTGTGTCGAGTGTATGGTTTCACCGCCACGCACGTTACTCGCAAACATTCTTGTGTTGTATGAGCATCTCGCCGCGCTCTACTATACCAAGCAAACGCATCCTGTCAACGACCGCATAGCAACTCTTCTTCTTTCTCTCTTCCCACTCGCTCATTCTCTCTTCCCCACTCTCTCCCTCTCGCCGCTCTCACCCTCTCTCTCTCATTTTCTCTCACGCGCTCCTTCTCTCGCGCGCCCGCGCACTTTAACCCCCCTCATCCCCCGCCGCAATATTTTGACCACGTCTGTGTTGAGACTCGTGATGCCGACGAAAAAAAAACGGAGGCCCTCATTCTGTCGAGTACACGCGCAAAAACCCGACGAAGCCCCGGCCTGAAATTGCATTCCTGCGTCTGGCTGCCGCCTCTCCTCTTGCCGCCCGCCGTCTGTTGCGAGGCCGTTTTCTGTTGATGATCCTCCTTGGTAACTGCACTCTATTTGATTTATGCTGAACTAAACATTTTATTAAGGTTTGAATCGGCGATGCTGTGCAAGTTGTCTGTCTGTCGTCCTAATCTGCATGCATTATATTCATAAAATGAATGTCAACGCTATCCCAAGATATTAGTTTTATTTTAATAATAACTGGTTGTGCGGCTTTTATTTGCGGTAGAATTCTTACAAATCTCATGCAGTTTGACAATTATTTGCCTTAATTGGCTCAAGCTTGAGGCTTTCTATCGCTGAGCGTGACTGATTGGTGTGCGTGTGATAATTCAACGGGAATGCAGTGTATGCATGCACTCTTGAGAGCTTCGTCACTGACATGAATCTAAATTACCCTGCCTAGTGCATACAATGCGACAAAACGCGACAATTTGCCTGTACCAGAGACGATTATTATCTACTCGGTATTTGAGTGCCCTCCTCTTAATTTGTCTTCTCACTTTGGTAAGCTTTGTACGTACAAAAAAAAGTGTTGCTTCAACCCTTGTTTCGATATTCAAAGAACGTCTATTCCTGGTGAACACTACTCCTCTAATAGCCATACACGGAACCTTCTCCAATGCTGTGAGATATAAGTATTCTTTAGAAGTGGAATGCGCGGCGCACAATACAGCGAGGTCATTGCTCTTCCCATGAGATCGCTGGCGCGAACGCGCGGCAGACGGTGCGTTCCTAACGAACGCTCGACGCGGTTCAAGATGAAAACTATTTTCTTGAGCGCCACCACCGTTTGGTTCGCATTTCTGTGAATGAATGAGCGTAGGTTAGTGACACGACTCTGTGCATATAAACAGCCCTTGCGTTGAGCTGTTGCTAGGCGACTCAAGAAGCCTCGACTCACTTCTCAGAATAGTGTGCGTTCAAAGTTTAGTTCATGTTGTTAATTCACTATGCTTCATCGGTGGCAGTTCACTAGCTACGTCAATATTTAAGGCACTATCTGTAAAGTTTCTTCCTGCCTTCAATAAGTTATCCTTTTAGTCTCTACATGGTGTGTTACTTTCCTGCAAAAAGTTGTTTTTTCAGGAACTTAACTTAACCATCTGATATGCATATGCTGCGCAATACGTTATCGGCAGCTAACTCTGCGAAGTTCCCCGTTAGTGTATAGGTACATCTATGTGGCCAACGTGTTGCTGACGATCTTGCTATCTTTAGTATCTTAATAGGTTTTGCCGGAAGTGACAGCGTGTGTAATGTGTATGTGTGGCGACAGTGCCGACGTGTATGTGTGGCGGCAGCACTATCGTGTGAGTGCCGGAAGTGACGACATGTGTGTGTGAGACGGTCGTGAGTTTGCATATGTGACGGTAGTTTGTTTTCATGTGTGCGGGCAGTGGCTGCGTGTGGTGGAGGCAGCGACAGCGTCAAGTGGCTTTGGAATGTGGCTCAGAGTCGCATGACGACTAATCATTGCCGTTGTGCCTCAACGGCACGCCAGTCCACTATTCTTGTGATATTAGATAGGCGACTTTGATTAACGAAGCCAAGAAAATGTGGCACCGAAACTAAAACCCCGCCGTTGTATTAAGGCAATCAATATGGCCAATTACTCTAGCTTTACAGTTTACAATACGAATATTCTTCGGGTACCCGATTATATTCGTAGACATAGTATTTATGCAGATGTTGTTCCTCATACCCAATGCACCTCGCTTCTTTCTGTGCTATAAAAGCCCGCACTTATGAGAAGAGAGAGTGCGAGCGTGCGTTCTCTCAGCTCTTTCAGCGCCAGCGATCAACCTGTTCAACATATGGCGTTTCAGTTACGTAAAATACGCGACATCAGTTATATCTGACCATAATATACGAAGTAAAACGTTACCAAATCATCGTGTTTGTGACTGAATTTGGTCCAACATCAAATATATGCCAATAATTTGAATTGAAGCGCACAGATGGGAAGGATTGTTCTGTAGCTGCGCATATCGCATCGACCTTGCGCAGGTGTGGCGGCGTGATATTTTCTCAGAAATAAAAGCCGTTTAAAAAAGTGTTCAAAGACAGTTTGATGTTAACAGGCTTCTTGTCTCTGGAAATTACTTTCAAAAATGATGGTTCCTTACTTTGTTTGAAATCGTGCTCGAGAAATAATTTTCAGAAATGAGTAAAAAAATAATCTTGCTGCTCTTAAACGAGTGGGCGCTTCTCTCGATGTTGAAGACATTTATACTTCAACATTCAAGTCGTTTTGACGAGATTCTCGGAGATTATCTCAAGCTAGATCACTAGAATAACAGCGTGTGGAATTGGTGATGAATAAAGATTCATTAAGACGGTTTTTTTATCCGACGCGAACATTTCTGTATGCTTTTCGAGAATGGTTTAAAATGATTCCAGTATGAGGAAATATTCCGCGCACTGCAAATAATTAGGAATCGGCACGTGCGGCCGATCAGTGCCACGTCTGCTAATTGCCGTCGGGAAAAGTTTCATCGCCGGCGACAACGGGAGGAGACTGGTGGGGAAGCGGAGGGTGGCGGTGTTAGGGAGAAAGCGGGTGTAAAGAGAGGAGGTGACGGTGAGTGATAGTAAAACGGTTGGGAGGTTCCGTGAGGGGGCGAGAGCCGCATTCCAACGCTGCGCACTCGGTAAGGCCATTGCTGGCGAACGCTGCTGCTGCTGCTGCTGCTGCTGCTGCTGCTGCTGCTGCTGCTGCTGCCACTACCATCACTGTTATGGCATCTGTTGCAGACTTGCAGCTGCTGCTTTATCTTCCTATGTTCCTGGCAGTGCTGCTGTTTCTGCTGCAATTATTTTCGAACAAGTTATTTTTTTGTTGCTATTTAACACGTTGACTACGATTGCTTCATCTTGTACTTTTGTTTCATTTTTCTAGTACTATTATAGACAAGGGTTGCCAGACTTTCATTTTTTACCGGACAAATTCCGCCATTTAGTTTTTTCAATTTCGTTGGTTAGCTAAAATTTATGATAGTAGTTTTAAGGGGCACTTCCTAATTAAATAAAAAAGTCGAATTTTTACACCGGAACCTACAAATATACTAGTACATATTGAGTTATAGGCCTTTTTGGCCTTTTTGTTCACGGACTTAATTGGCCTTTTTTAGGCCATCTGGCAACCCTGAATTATGTACCAGGAGAAATACATTTCGTGGTACGCATATGTACCACTTCGTAGTCAACGTGTTAAGCTTATGGTTGTGCTTTAACTTCCCTGCCGTACCTATCGCAATTATGTTTGGTCCATTTACACTTTGATCTCCTCTTCAATTCTCCGTACTTTAACATCCAATCCTCTTGATTAAGTCATTTGCTGCGAAACTCGCTTGAAACTTTTCCTCCTCATCGCTTATCATTGCTCCCGCCATCAATGTTGTGGTTGCTGCTCGAGAGACTCGACGCCTGCGCTGGTATTTGTCACTCGGCGACCACGAGTGATGGCAGTGTCTCAGGCCTCAAGGATGTGCTGCTGCCGTGGCTGCTGCTCGCTCGCGGCGGTGTCAACAGCCTCACGCAAGAATGTCGGAATGCAAACTATTCTTAGAAGCCCGAGTGGTCGGTTGAGTGACTAGCTGCTAGAGACTGTCTGTCGGTCGTTGCATGGGATCCTACGTGGCGCAGGCGGCAACGCAGTCCAGAGAAAGCACCGTAACGAACGATCGTTCAGCGCGCTCTCGTTCATGAGCCAATACTTGGTAACGGGGTCCATTGTTTAGTGGTCATAATGTTTCCAGCACTGGACCACTAACTGCCCGACACTTACTCTTAATGGTATCGTACATGATTGTTTTGATGCTTCTGCCGCTGCGTCGCATTCTTTCGTCCCTGTTGGAAATCGCGAGTATTTTTTACAGACAGACTTTTTGTCATTAATTCGAATTTGGTACAGGACAATGGAATTTGGTACATGTTTAATATTTGATTGTGAAGTACTGTTGAGTTTTCAATTAGCAAAATATAGAACTGGGATGAGCCTAGAACTTAGTTGTAGGTATTGGAATTATTCATATATTTACTAAAATTTAAAAGCTAACATTGTATGTTCTTCTTCCTCAGGTGAATGGTGTGACGGTGCCTCGAGAAATATCACTGCTTCTGCGTCTCACAAACGTCCCAAATGTGGTGCAACTGCTCGATTGGATTGATCGAGACGACTCGTACCTCCTCATCTTCGAGAGACCTGAGCCCTGCCAGGATTTTTTCGATTACATTTCAAAGAATATTTTCATACCCGAGAACCAAGCCAGGGTACTGTTTGCGCAGATTGTGCAGACCGTTAAGGAGTGTTTCGAAGCAGGAGTTGTTCACAGGGACATCAAGGATGAGAATATCCTCATAACCTACGACTCGGCTTCTGACAAATACGTCTTGAAATTGATAGATTTTGGATCAGGTGCAGTTGTGAATCCCGACAACAGACCGTACATCGATTTCGATGGCACGAGAGTGTATGCTCCGCCTGAATGGATCACCTCCGGTTCTTATTCCGCGATACCCGCGGCTGTATGGTCCTTGGGGGTACTGCTTTACGACATGGTCGTCGGATATATTCCCTTCGAGAATGACGAATCGATTCTTCAGAATAAACTCCAGTTCCGAAATGACTGTCCTCTATCGGCACCTGTCGTGAACCTCATCAAGGCTTGCCTTCATCCCGACCCCAACTCACGACCAGACCTCGACGCCATCCTCTCTCACCCGTGGATTAAGCATGACAGTATCGCTGATGCATTCACTTCGGTGCAAAGGAAGCACCAGAGTATGCGTCTGAATCACGCTCATGCTCAGAAAGCCTTGCAGCAGCAACAACATCAACTTTTAATACAACCCCAACTCCAGCAACAACAACAACAACTTCAGCAGCAACAAGCTCAACAACAACAGCCACCTCAAGAGTTTTCACCCCCGCAGCAGCAGCAGCAGTTACAGAACGTCAATCCTAACCGATGCACTCACTACCACAGGACAACTGCCATCAATATCCCGCAACTGAATTCCACTCGGCACCAATTCCCTGGCAGTGGAACCCCCGGCAGTGCTTCGAAGGCGTCGTCGGACCCCACAACCCCTTCCACGAGCAGCCCAAGCTCCTGCGTCAGTAACCTAGTGCGATCAGCATCCTCATCGCCACTAACCCTGCATACGCAGCCATCGTCTCTCTCTTCGTCGCAATCCTCTGATGAATCATCGTCTACACCAGCCAAATCTTTACCAGGAAATTTAAACCAGATTTCAGCCAGTGATGCCAACGTCTCGCACTCCTCATCTTCAACAGCTCTACAAACTCCTCCTCAATCTCCACCACATCTTCACGATCACTCTAATCTTCACCAGCATCATCAGTCAAGCATGTTATACGAGGAATATTCTCCACCTTCGCCTCAATCTTCTACATCCACTTCGGACTCCCAGACCTACAATAGCAGCAACAGCGTTAGACTCGCGCTTCCACACTATGACAGTGGCAACAATAACACAGCTCCTACTCATAATAATACATTCAATAACACAACCTCGCCGCATGCATCGCCAGTTAATGCTGATTCATCCAATTCTTCACCTTGCACCGCAATCCAGCGATGCAGCTCACGATCACTCAATACCAGAGCTCGTGATGCGCTATGATGCAAGAATATAGGATGAACTGTACATATAGCTACCTAAATATAGGGCGTATCGTCAATACCGTACAGAGGTAGACATTATTTAGCGCTGCTAGGCTTAATTACGTGCCGGGGTATTTCATGTTTAAGGTACTGTAGTGATTGGCAGCTGAATATTGCTTGTACAGCTAAACTTCTTCTAGGTAGATGGCTTTCCACTAAATACTGACCTGTAAAGGCCCTTCGTGTCTTACGGATGCAGTTTGCGGTTACAGGCTTAAGAATTTAATGTTACTGAGAAGTTCTGTCAACGTTTAACCTGCAGTCACAGTGATGATCTGACTAAATGGCGTTCTTTGCTACAGATTAATTTAAAAGAAATAAATTGCTATGTTATCCTCAACGTGGTAAGCTGCTGTATGCGCTCTCAGGCTGGTTTAATTTCTCTTTCATCGTGATGCATTTTTGCAGGATTTCTTTTTTACTGAGAAATTGATTTATACTTTGAACGGTCATAACACTTCCCAGAGGCTCCTGTGTCAACATTTTTTTCTGAAATTTAAAATTGAAATTAAAACGAATCCTTTATTGCTGATTCCGCAGGGCTGCGATTCCTTCTATCTTTCATTCGAGATTCATTATTTGGCCAAATCTGTGTAAAGCCAAGATTTAACAGTTGAAATAATGGCGCCATTTTTGTTTCAACCAATGCTCAAGTAGATTTAGGGAATGCGTGGAAAAGGTTTCTGGGAACTGATATAGTTGTTGGTATGGAAAATTTTTCATGTACATGATTACGTGCTACTGTGCAAATTTTCCAGAACATTTTTTGTTTATCGGAAACTTTGCAAGATTGTTTCCGACACAACAAATTAATTTGTATGGTTATAAAACCACCTATATCAAGATTTTGCACAGGAAACCGTTACTGTACAATATATACCGAATTAACAATGAACTTGGATCTTAGAATGGATGGGTTTATTTATGATGCCAAAGATTGCAATCAAGAATGCGAATTTGCTTTTCGTTTTAGGTAGGTATCGTTTTCGTTAAGATGCTGACAACCAAAAAATCCCCTACATTTATTCGGGTTCTTGGAATTTTTTTCACTGGAATCTAAGTTCTCTTTATTCGAACCATTTTAAGTCATAAATTCGAAATTGCACCCTTTTTTCGTCTTCTAACTGTTATTAGCCTGAAATTAGGCTAGATTTTTTCCTAATGGAGTACTGCTACATATGAAAACCATTTTTTAATCATTTTTGGGAACTTGAATGGGGGATGTAAGATGTAAATATACTGTATAAACTTGTACGTGCGTGGCTGAGTGTACATAACGGCGTAGATGTTTCTGATACGACAGGCTATTTGGTATTAAGTTGGCGCTGTAGATAATAAACTTGTTGTACGTATTACGTACTTTGTACAGAGTCTTCGTTGCTAGATTATTTATGGCTCGCATGGGCTTGAGTTAGAGTCGGAGCTTACTTTTGATGGTTGCATTCATCTGTTTCGAACTGAACACCTCGCCTTAGATGTAGTACTATTATTGTAATAATAATTATTATTTTAATGTGCTTGAACCATTGTAAGCTTTCTTAGGCTTTATTGTAGATTGCTACGCGCCTTCCAGTTTGAAAAATCAGCGGCTACATGATAGCATGGGGACGAATGCTTCAATTGACACTAAAAACATCGATTTCACGTCCTCCAAAATTATTTGTTCGAGCTGTCATTCTTTTTCGCTGAACAACCAACCTATCGTACAGTAAATCCTACAAATTTGCTCTCTTGGGCGCATGCAGCTCAAATATGTTCCCAAACGAATGTCCACAATTTTGTTCACTTCAAAGTTATGTTCCAAAATGACTTTCATTATTTCTTAGTTACGCTTTCATTATTTTATCCGCGTTTTTTTGGCAGTCGACTAGCATAGTTTGGCTGCGTTTAGACAGGGTATATGACTTGGCTCGGGAATAATACCTTATCTATTATTTTTGGTCCATTGACATACATTATTTACATGTTCTTCTCTACTAAGTTTATTTTATTTATAGCGGAAGTCTTTTTAGATCATGGTGAAGTTCCTGGCTTTTTTTGATGTAGAATAAATCTTTTTTAAGGTTTAGCAGTCTTCGGTAGGTACTGATTATTCTGTTATCAGGTACTCATTGTGTATGTTTTTAGAGCGTAACTTTCTGTCGAGTTCGATTAAATTAGATTAGCCTTGTCATTGTTTACACGAATACGTTAATGTTACCTTCACCTGACCTGCTGCGTTTTGTTCGTTCCATCAGTAACGCAGTGCGATTCCGGTTCCGCATTCTTCGTATTTTAAAATTATTAGTGAATGGCCTTTCATTTTTAGTTTACCGCTGATTAAGAAAAATATAGTTCAGGGATTCAAACAACTTCAATTTTTGAATGTACTCAGACCCCCCTTATTACATATTTGTTCTTGCTGTAGTTCGTTTTAAATCCGTTTTTATTGGCAATTTTTGACCCGCTACTGACTATAGTTTCTATTTTTGAGAGGAAGCGCGCCTTTATAGAAATTGTGTTTTCATTAGAAATATAAAATTTTTGAGATCGTTACATGTTAATTTTTTCTGTTTCGCGGTGCTCGAAATTGATGCTTCATTTCGCCACTCAATCTCAAAGTGTGTTAATGTTTGTTCACTGCAGTCACTGGTTGGTTGCGCTCACGGTTCCTATTTAAGGTGGCTAATTATTTTGCTTGTCATATCACCGGTGATGATTGCTTTGCACGTAGCATTCCTTGCGGTTTAAAGGGCATAACATACCTGGCTGCTAGTCTTGACATGTTTTGAGTGTATGTTGAAATCGCTGGCGATGTGCGTTACGATTAATGATCATGTTTTGATTACGATTACGATCATGTTTTGGTGGAGTAGAATGTTTCGTTTGAGTTACTCATGATAGCGCGACAAATCGACTATCACGTCAACTGTTAACTGTGCATTGCACTATATGAATGCACAGGAAATTCCTACCAGAAGCCTGTGAGAATTAAGTAAAGGCCAATGGTCACTTCAGAGATAAAATATTCTATGGAAAATCAGGCATTGTTTAGCTTATGGAAGGAACTGAGAAAATTAACCCTGCCTGCATTACTGTAACCTGTAAGCCTTGATGTTCGAATGTACTGGGTGTGTGCGCGTGAATTGAGATCAGTTTGTGTAATTTGTGTTGAAGCTAAAGTATTATTGATGTCACCGTTTACAAGTCACTGTTTTGCGTTTCGAAGATATGATCTACGTGTCTTTTATGTGTAATGCACGGACAAGAACGTGATACGTTTCGCTACATTCTTCGAACCCTTGATGGTGCGTGCAGTTGAAATAAATAATGAAATCCCTGTTGCATAGCTTACTGAAGAGTCATCTTGATTATGATTTGCTTAATTATAGTCCTGGCTTAGTCATAAACCCTATTGACCCGCACTGAAGTAGAAGAGCTTAGGCTCCTCTAAATTAGAATGTGTGCAGTAGTTGAGGGTTTGAATGTATATTTTAATGCGCTTTAAATCCAAATGTTGACGGGTTTAAATCCCCAGTTTTCAAGCCTTATAAAACGATAAATGAAAAAGCTAGTCTGATTATTTTACTTTGAATTGTTTCGGATTCTGATGCGTGTTTACGTAGCCTCATCAGCAGTTTCCAATAGGAAATCAGTGCTTGAATGTATTTTTATTTTCAGGAACAGCTGCTTGTATAATTTGTGCAGTAATCCACGTGTAATAAATAGAAAATGAAGACTGAAAACCGAAATCTTTGTTTTGCCAAATGATGTCGAAACTTACATTGGAAGCTTATTGGCTTGTAACTAAGTAATTGTTTTAAAGTGATGAATTGTAAACTGTAGTAATGTTACGCGTGTTTTATTCATTTTGGAGGCAATTAAGTGAGATTTTTACGGAAATGACAAAGACATTCACAACGCAAAATTATTTGCTTAGATGAAAATGTTCTGATATATGAAATAAAAATTTTATTCCGACTGCTTAAAGTTTGCAAGTGTGAGATGAGTAAATGTTTCAAATTACATTTTGTATTCACTAGGAAGTTCGTAGTTATCTTGAGTGAATCTATCGTGTGCTTGTCGACCTAAAATAAATTTTGTGTACACTTTTCGAAAACGTAACTGTGTGCTAAATTTGTACGTAGCTTGTCGCGTTGAGCCTGTGTACCATATTGTAATGGCTGCAGTATTTTTATAGGGAAATAAAGTCGAACCACTGCTAAGTTTTTATTGTTTCCCCTCCAAATTGGCAGTTATTTGATCATCTTGAGTAATCACGATGAAAATATAGAAAATAACAAGAAAGTTGAACGACGAAGCTGGAAGGAGCGCGGCATTTACTTGCACCGTGACCTGACCTCAGTTATAGTTAACATCCAAAGGAATTTAAACGGGATTAATTTCCTCATTCAAACTAATAAACTCTTGATACATCAGCCAATGAATTTTTGTCACGATCAAAAGCCAGTATGAACTGCAGTAAAAATTGAGAGGGCACACTTAGCTAGGAAGTAGGTTTTCTCGGGAATGTGTGAATAGTTCGCTTTCCGCTCGTGTGAAAAAGTATCTCATATAGAAACGTTCATATTCCTTGAATTTTCCTAGGAATCAAGCAGAAAATAATATGCAGGAGTTCGCATTGAACAAATTAAACAAAGAAAATATTTGGAGATGCTATCAATTACTGAATGAATAGGTACTAAACTTAATTGAAAGGTAAATGAACAAGCCCCATATTAAAAAGAAGGATAATTTGCCTAGTGTTGAACACATCATCATGAAGTTACTGTGTAGTCGTCATCCCTGCATGCACAATTCCATAGAAGAGGCTGCATGACAGCTGTTAGCTCCGTGTTGAATTTGACAAGAATAAGAACCTATGCAACTACCTTTGATGTGTAGCTATGGTCCAAAAAGTCAACAAGAAACTAAAATTAAAACTTAGCAATTTAGCGACCAGCTACCTTGCGAGTGCAAAATACCGCATTGCATTCATATTGCATTGCTGAAATTAATTTATTGAAAAAAAAACCTGACAGGTGACAGAAACCTCCACCTGGTCATAGCGCAGCCTGAAATTAAGTCCAATATATTTGTCTAATTGGGCCAATTAATGAGCTTCAAATGTAAAGAAAAATCGCCCTTATGAAAGGCGACAGATATGTACAGGCTACACGCTAACGGGTTAAGCTACATGATTAATATTAAACATAAATATGATGCAAGTTCTTGCAGTATGGCTTGCCTTAAAAGACACGTCTGATTACAGGACGATGTGAAACAATTGAAGGGAGAAGCTAAAAAATGCAACCTTATTTAATTGTTGAATATACAACCAAACGAATACTACTGAAAACTCTATTTATTCATTTTGGAGGCAATTAAGTGAGATTTTTACGGAAATGACAAAGACATTCACAACGCAAAATTATTTGCTTAGATGAAAATGTTCTGATATATGAAATAAAAATTTTATTCCGACTGCTTAAAGTTTGCAAGTGTGAGATGAGTAAATGTTTCAAATTACATTTTGTATTCACTAGGAAGTTCGTAGTTATCTTGAGTGAATCTATCGTGTGCTTGTCGACCTAAAATAAATTTTGTGTACACTTTTCGAAAACGTAACTGTGTGCTAAATTTGTACGTAGCTTGTCGCGTTGAGCCTGTGTACCATATTGTAATGGCTGCAGTATTTTTATAGGGAAATAAAGTCGAACCACTGCTAAGTTTTTATTGTTTCCCCTCCAAATTGTCAGTTATTTGATCATCTTAAGTTATCACGATGAAAATATAGAAAATAACAAGAAAGTTGAACGACGAAGGTGGAAGGAGCGCGGCATTTACTTGCACCATCACCTGACCTCAGTAATAGTTAACAACCAAAGGAATTTAAACGGGATTAATTTCCTCATTCAAACTGTAATAAACTCTTGACGCATCAGCCAATGAATTTTTGTCACGATCAAAAGCCAGTATGAACTGCAGTAAAAATTGAGAGGGCACACTTAGCTAGGAAGTAGGTTTTCTCGGGAATGTGTGAATAGTTCGCTTTCCGCTCGTGTGAAAAAGTATCTCATATAGAAACGTTCATATTCCTTAAATTTTCCTAGGAATCAAGCAGAAAATAATATGCAGGAGTTCGCATTGAACAAATTAAACAAAGAAAATATTTGGAAATGCTATCAATTACTGAATGAATAGGTACTAAACTTAATTGAAAGGTAAATGAACAAGCCCCATATTAAAAAGAAGGATAATTTGCCTAGTGTTGAACACATCATCATGAAGTTACTGTGTAGTCGTCATCCCTGCATGCAAAATTCCATAGAAGAGGCTGCATGACAGCTGTTAGCTCCGTGTTGAATTTGACAAGAATAAGAACCTATGCAACTACCTTTGATGTGTAGCTATGGTCCAAAAAGTCAACAAGAAACTAAAATTAAAACTTAGCAATTTAGCGACCAGCTACCTTGCGAGTGCAAAATACCGCATTGCATTCATATTGCATTGCTGAAATTAATTTATTGAAAAAAAAACCTGACAGGTGACAGAAACCTCCACCTGGTCATAGCGCAGCCTGAAATTAAGTCCAATATATTTGTCTAATTGGGCCAATTAATGAGCTTCAAATGTAAAGAAAAATCGCCCTTATGAAAGGCGACAGATATGTACAGGCTACACGCTAACGGGTTAAGCTACATGATTAATATTAAACATAAATATGATGCAAGTTCTTGCAGTATGGCTTGCCTTAAAAGACACGTCTGATTACAGGACGATGTGAAACAATTGAAGGGAGAAGCTAAAAAATGCAACCTTATTTAATTGTTGAATATACAACCAAACGAATACTACTGAAAACTCTTTGTCTACTGAACCAATGTATTAAAACTCTGCAGTGATAGATTAACTTCTGTCTTTAAGAAGCTTTTGTCCTCAGCGCCTGATCAGGAATTTCCGACGTTCAGCTTATGGATCTTGAGAGAAAGAACCTTCTTGAGTTTAGGAATCTGAGTCAATGAATGAGTCGTCACACTTCGCAGGCGAGTAAATAGACATAAATAACCTTCACTTGAATTTTGAGAGTTCTGCTCAGTAAATGGCAGACAGTGTAGAGAAAATATCTTCAATTTGTATTTTTCATTCTTATGTTTCATAACAAGAAAAAAATTTCTGACCCTGTAACCCCAAACAAAA